CCCGCTACCTGCTCCCGGGCCTGGACACAACTGCGTCCCGCCCGGCGGAGGGCAGCCGGCGGCGGCCGCGCCTCAGAGGGCGCGAAACGCTGGTGGTACCCGCGGTGCTGCCGCGCTCGGGGGGCGGGTGCCAGCTGGCCCGTCCGAGCCGGGGCTGAGCGAAGCAGCCACACGCACAGAGGGCCCAAAAGGAGGAAAGTGGAAGGAAGCGGAAGGCGCTTGGGGCTGCCCCTGTCTGCGGAGCTGTCAGCTAGAGGCGGCGGCTGGACCCGGCCCTTCAGTACTCCTCGTTTGTAGCCCTAGAGAAGCGGGCCTGGAAAGGGCCTCCTGTTCTCCAGAGGCAGGAGCGGCCTTGGCCAAAGCAACCCTGCACACAGAATCCTCCCTGCACCTCTGGGGCAGGGGGTAGCCTGAGCCACGGGGGAAAAGAGCATGGATAATGAGGGCTGGAAAGGACCTCAAGAGGTCATCAAGGAGCTCCCTGCTCCAAGCAGGACCATCCCCAGCTAGATCATTGCAGCCCAGGTTTTGTCTAACCAAAACCCACCAAAGATGGAGAGTCCATTATCTCTGAGTAACCCATTCTAGTGCTTCGCCACTTCCCTAGTGAGAGAGTTTTTCCTAATATCAACCTAAACTTCCCTTGCTGCAACTGGAGACCGTTGCTCCTTATCCTGTCATCTCCTTCCACTGAGACACTACTGCTTTGCTCCATGCTCACAGCCCTAGAAACATTAGGGGTATTTTCCAGATACACATGCTGTCCTAACATCTGCGTTCCCAATGCTCCTCCAGCACCTAGCATCCCCTCTGCCTTGGGGGCTGTGTAAACGCACACAAACATGTCCCATTTTTTCTGTGGGAAGCCGAGAAGGGCTTCCACCCTGGTTCTGGGAGTCCCTCTTTAAAATGAGGTTAGTAATACAGGCAGACTACCCGTTCACAGTAATGCATCTGTCACCTCAACTTAAGGTGTGCAACACTCAGCAGCTGGCTGTTGATCACTTACGACTTGCCCTTTGCCATGTCTGTTTTGCTTTGGGGAAGTAGGGCTAAGCCTAAAAGTTACCTAATGAGCTGCTGCTGGTTGGAAGACTCAGGCTATGAAAAGTTCCCCAGGCCTGGGGCCCTGCTGAAGAACAGCCTGCTAAGCAACCTCCTTTTGGGGGGCCCTGCTGAAATGTATTGGGTATTTCCGCTATCTGCAACTGTGGAATAGCTTGTGGTCACAGTCTTGTGGAAGCTAAGTCAGTGTTGGGCATTTACAGGTCAAACAGAATCTGAACATGGAGCCAAGGAGCCAAAAGACTGTGGCATGTCTGCGATGAGCACAGGTCTAATGTACTTGCCAGAAGAAATGCTGTTTTCCAGGCAGGCTCTTGAATTCTGCAGGTTCTGCATGGACCCAAAATGAAGATACCTTTGTTGTTTCAGAGTGCTTTATAGATATGATACACATTTGCAGTGCTCCTGAGAATAAACGAAGCTGTGGAAATGATCTTGATATACTTAAAACTTCAGTTTTGGAAGCCCATAATTCACTATGTTCTTTGAGTTGCTGCTACTCAGATGCACTCCACCCTTGAAGGATAATTTCAAATAGACTTAAGTAGTGTCTTCTGGGCCTTGAAAGATGTATTTGAGAGGGAGTGGGAAAGAGGGATGAGAAGATGCCCGTTAGGTGGCGGTACAAAAATAATTTTAGTGTACATATTGATTGTTGAAGTTAGGGAGCAGTAAGAACTACACATGAAAAATCCTGTAGCCATTAGGTGTTTCATGAATGTATGGTAAACAAATTCCCTTATAAGAAACCACAGTATAAAAGTGGGATAATAATGGAAATGCAGTCAATGCAATGTATGTATTGAAGTAAAGCTTAAAAGTGTATGGTTAATACTTTTTTCACGTTCCTCTGAAAAGCAGCCCATGGCAAATATTAGACAAAAAACCTAAAATGTTTAAAAACAACAATCTAGAATATAAATGTTACCAGCCTATGATGGGTGAACATAATTGCTTCATACAGCATCCAACAAAGATGGAAACATTCAAATAAATACAATAAAAGTTGCCTCCGGTTGTGTAGTCTGTGCGTATGCATCTATTTACGTTCCTGAATTTACTAAAACCGTCCACCAACTTATTAATAAACAAGTATTAATAGATACTGTATAGTTTCTACATTACCCTCCCACTATTCTGATTGTGTGAGTTGGATTTCCAATGGAAACATTTTTTAAGTTACATACTTTATTGCAAAAAATCATGTTGTTGGGAAACTAGTGTTCAAATATTAATTGTTTATATTTCATGAAATTTCTTCTGCAATTTCTGTATTTCAGGTCTGTAGTTGAAGTGTTTTAGCCATGACTAAGAGAGATACAGAGGAGCTGATAGAAATAGAAATTGATGGAACCGAGAAACAGGAGTGCACAGAAGAAAGGTATGTGTTTTAAATTAGTGCTCAGTCCGAGTCATAAGGCTTCAAGTAATTGCTGCTACTTGAAATCAGTTTGTCTTGTTGCCGTTTTCAGTGGGGAGATGCAGTGCTTCAGACCTGGGCAAAGGATGGTTAGGCAGCTGTCACTTGAACTTGTTTGTTATTGTATGCAATAGGAAACCAAAATATAGCAGATGTAATAGTGTTAGCATGACCTGGAGTATCCTGTTTTTGGTATGTATTACTGCAACTTCTAATCCCTCTTGCCATGTTGCAAAAATGTCTTCTCCGTTAGCACGTTCACTTCAGCTTGCTTAACCTTTTCCCTAACACCTTTTTCCCTGAGGTAGAACCTTCCCCACTGTGCAATAGGAAATGCATTTTGTTCAATTATAATTGTTTCTCTTGTTTCTCTGCCATTTTGTTCCTAGTTCTATGCGTTTCATCTCTCCCATTCTTCACTTTGCTTTCACTTTCTTGATAACCCTGTTTGTGTTTTTTGCAAGCCCTTAAATTTCATCATATCCCTCTGTAACCAACATGGAAGCATCCAAGTCCAGCCCTCCCTCACTTCTCCATCAATGCCAGTCATGCCACCCAAAAACTTTTAAATAAAGCAGAAAGGCAAGATAACTGATCCATTTATATTAACAGTAGAAACAGTATTGCTTGAAACAGCAGTTTGACTGGCTTCAGGTCTAAATTAGTTCTCATTTTCCTGTTCAAATCTCTTTCTGTTTAATTGCCTCAGTCTTTACTTTCAAGCATAAGTAATCATGACTTACTTTTCAAGAGCTTACCTCATACATTAGTCCCTTTTCCTTGGAGACAATCGTATTTCTGAGCAACATGGTAGCCTCTCCTAAGTCTGAACTCCAAGCGTTTCATGTTTCTCAAAAACTGAGTAAAAGCTTTTATTTTTCAATATTCCCTCTGCTTGTAAGCAGAGAAGCCAGCTCCATAAAACTATACAGGATGACCCCATGCTTATGTCAGTGTAGCCAGCCCATTTGAGCTATTGACAAAATTGAGGTCAGTTTTTCTGGGATGCGAATTGCTGTATACTCTTTATATAGCAAGTTTGGGCCTTTTCAGTACACACATAGTTTCGTTTATTTTTAAGGTGAAAAGTTTCATCAATTAAAAAATGTAGACATTGTAAAAGTGATTTTTATACCTATTCCCTACCATAGGAGTTTAGGCTTCATTCATTGACTAATGTTTCTAGGCAGGCTACTAATTTATTCTGCTGTTTCTGTTTTTCCTTTTTGTATATAAAAATGGGGTTGATAGTCACATGTCTTCAGTTTTTGGAAGCTACGGTCACAACCACAATACTTAGAAGTCCTGGAATACTAGTACCCCCGATTCCCATTAAGACTTCATCAGGACTGATGTCTGCCTTGCAGGCAAGAATTGACTCCTTGAAAATTTAGAGGAGAAAATCAGTAAATGAAAGACGGGTTGGGCAGCAGCTCACCTGCTTCGCTATATTTGTGTAGAGGCTGTCAGCATCATACTTACCTTTTGGGTGAACTTTCAGCCTATTATCTCTCTTCAGCTCACCGTCACTTGCCTGCCACCATTTGACTGTCATACTCTGCTACGTCCTTGTTCCTGCTTCATCCTGTTGCTCTCCCTGGTTTCCCCTGGAGGGACATTAGGACTTGACAAAGTTCTCCCAACTGCTGTGGGGTCTTCTGGTTCCAACATTCTAGCCCTTTCCCACAGCAAGCAATTTTCCTCCTGCATATGAACAGACGAGAGAAGGATTTTGGTTACAGGAACTATTTTTGATACTTTAACAGCAATAACACCAGGAATCCTGGTTTTCCTTGATTTAAAAAATCCCACATTTTCTGACTTAACACCCCCTCCTGCCCACCAAAATTCACATTTTTCTATGATTAAAATGACATACACGCACACACTTTTTTGTTATCGGAGAAAATGAGGCTCCCTGAACATCACCACCACTACCAACACCCAGAATTAATTATTTTCTGCAGTTATTCCTGTCATGCTAGAAGGACCTTCAAAGCCAAATTTGAACAAATGAGTGTAAGCATTTGGATCGTCATCAACTTATTGTTGATTACAAATCACATTAATGTATTATTTATGGAAATAGCCTGCATCTTATGTATAAAGTAACATACAAAGCAAAATAAGCAAATACAGCAAATTTATAGCAGCATATAAAGCAAAATAAGAATCTTAATTCCAACACATGTAATGATGGCAGGTTTTTGGTGTATTATAGCTGTGTAGATAAAAGCTATCTTCCAACATTCCTTCAAAATAGTTAAACAGTTGACAGGTATGCAATTTTTTTGGTCATCTGCCTCCAGTTGGATTTATCTTTAAGGCCAATCCATAGTACGTAAATATAAAAGCCTCCTTTTCAAAATTTTTTTATTTTTAATGCTTTTATAATAAAAGATAATATTTTATGTTATTATTATTGTATTGTGATAAAATATATGTATTTTACATACAACATTATAAATCTGTGGTGCTCAGACTTCTGGCCCTGAGGGCCAGATGAGTGGCACAGGGCCAGTTTATGGGCAGGTTTGGGCCCTGGGGCCCAGAACCACTCCTTTCCTGCTCTCTGTACCAGGATTGGGTCCTGGGGGGCTGGCACTTGCCCTCCCCTCATCATACACTGGGTTTGTGGCCCAGCACCACCATCGCCTTCTGCCCTCCATGTGGTGGGATCAGGCCCTGGGGCATGTTGCTGTCCTTGCTCAGCCCTGTGTGCTGGATCAGGCACCCAATCCAGTGTGCAGGACCCAAGTCTCCCCATAGGTGTGGAAATTGGGCAGTGAGGTACTAGTGCCGCTGTTCCACCACCACCAAATTTCTAGACCCTTGGGGGAGCCCTGTGGGCTTGGTGACATAGAACCAAGGGCCAGATTTGGCCCATAGGCTGGGAATTGAGCATTCCTAATACAAAGTGGTTGAGACAGGAAGGTAAGACTTTAACAATTAACTATTTAACTTATTTGCTTTCAGTTCCTGAGTTTTGTAAGTAACATGAAAATGGAAAAAACTTTAACTGGGTTTTGGAATAAGGCTTTTTGGCCTTTTTTCCCTTTTAATATTTTTTTCAGTTTGTGGAAATATAAAAAGTATGTTTTAAAAAAATAAAATAAGATAAATAGGTCAGCAGAGTTCTGTGTGGGGAACAGGAACTGCTTCTGTAGAGCTCTTGTTCGGTGGGCTTTGTCCTAAAAAATGGGTGTTTCCTAATGTTTCCTGGCTTCCTTGAACATCTCTAGTTACTTTATCTGATGTTCTTAAAGCAAATTGTGCAAGCATTATCTTCAGTTAATGGGTGGGCGGGGGAGGGGGGGAGTAAAGAAGAATATGTAAAATGTGTATCTGTCTTTGAGATCAGAATTCTGTTTCCACCTTTGCCACAAACCTCCTATATGTTTAGTGAGATGCTTTAAACTGTTCTGCCCACCTCCTTCAGTGACCTTGTTTGGAAAGTTTGCTTTTCCATGTTCTACCAGCTGCAGGACGCATGGTGACTTTGGGAAATAGTTATTTCTTCCATTATGACTTCATGATTCTGTAACCTTGGGTTTTTTACGGGGAGGGTCGGAGGTAGTATTGGTTTCACTGACGGTTTTCAGAACTGACATTTTTTAAAATGTACTGTTTTTAACCATTGACAGCAATATTTTGCACTTCATATTTTTTGTTGTAATTGATCAAAGGGATATGTATTATAAAAGTGGTAAAAGAAAAAAATTTAAAAACAGCGTTTTGTGTGATTTCCATGCCATTTTATTCAGTTATCTAAGCACTGTTCATAAGATAAAGATAATTGTAAAAGCTGCTTAGTTACTATCTTATTTTCTTCAAATATATCTGCTTCATTTTGAGGGAGAATATTTCTTGTTGGAGTATATATATGTAAATTACTCATGACTCAAACTTTTATCTTCCAAGATTGAAGACAGATACATTTCCTTGACCTTCTTAGTAAATCTGGCCAAAATTTTAAGCAGCATCTAACCAAAGGCTTTTAACTTACAAGTTGATTGCAGTCTTAGCTGTGGAGGGTTTATATAATCCCCAAGGACCCATTCTAAGTTTGCGGTTTGATTATAATAATTAGTGATTTAAATAAGGGAATGAACAGCAAGATGATAAAGTCTGCAGAAGATGCAAATTATATAGGTTAGTCAGAACTAGAAGAGTGGTGAACATTAAAGGAACATAATGAGACGTGGAAGTTAGGCATCTTGTTAGTAGATGAGCAAATGCATTGCAATGCACACTGGAAGGAATTCTTTAAACTGCTGTATCCTATTGCCAGTTGTATCACAAATAACCACTCAGGAAAGAGACTTGGGTGTCATTTATAAAAATATCTATTCAGTATACAGCCCTCGTCACCAAAGTACAAATCATAAGAGTTTAGAGAAAACTGGAATAAAACATAGCTTCATTTTCAGTCTTATAAATCAGTCGTTCTCCTTTCCATAATGATGTTCTGTTTCAGTAATTTTATTTCAAAAAAGAAATAGTGAGGATTTTTAGTTGAGTGCCCAAAATTGGAAGTCTTTTCTTGGCTGCATTGGATTAGACAGTTTTGAAAATATGAAGACTGATATTTTGGAGAAGATGTTAATGGAACTATGATAAATGTATACAGAATACCACATCATGCTGA